AATATAAGAAGTCGAGTAGGTGGATTGGTCCGATTAGAAAAGAAAAAAAATAGAATTAAAAATATTTTCTGGAAATATCCATTTTCCCAGAGAGATGGATAAGATATCCCAACATAGTGCCATCTTGAGACCGCCCGGAACGGTAAAAACAATTACAAGGAATAAAAAAAAATTTAAAAATTAGATTTATGTCCAATGGATTGCAACTACCAAGAAAAAGTATTTTATTTTGGTTCGACCTATAATTTTATATGAAATACCAGACAATATCAATTTTGTAAAACTTTTTCCCCAAGATCTATTCTAGAAAAAGGATAATCTGGAACTAAGTGGCACAATATTTTCTGGAAATTTCTCCTATTTCAGACGTTTCTAATTCGTGGTATAATTCAAAACCATTTTGCTTCGAACATATGAGTTGCTAAGAGGAAAATCCGAGAAAAAGAACCCATTGTATGGTAAATACTTCAAGAAGTTATGTAGGGGCATCCAGTATTGCTGAATAGAGCGCCTACTTTGCATAGATTGGGCATACATTAATTTCAACCCATTTTAGTCGAAGGACGTGCTATTTGTTTACATTCATTGGTGTGTAAGGGATTCAATGCAGATTTTGATGTGGATCAGATGGTTGTTCATATGCCTTTATCTTTGGAGGCTCAAGCCGAAGCTCGTTTACTTATGTTTTCTCATACGAATCTCTTGTCTCTGGCTATTGGGGATCCCATTTGTTTACCAACTCAAGATATAATTCGTCGAGGTATTTATGCAAACAGGTATAATTCGTCGAGGTATTTGTGCAAACAGGTATAATTCGTTTAATTCCCGAAATTCTCACAATGAAAAAATTAGCAATAATAACTTGAAGTATACGGAAAAAAAAGTACCCTTTTTTTTGCAATTCCTATGATGCAATTGGAGCTTATAGACAGAAAATAATAAATTTTGATAGTCCTTTTTGGCTCCGGTGGCGAATAGATTAATGCATTATGTCTTAAAGAGAAGTTCCTATCGAAGTTCACTATGAATCTTTTGGTACCTGTTATAAGATTTATGGGGGTTATTTAGTAATAAGAAGTATAAAAAAAGAAATTTGTTGTATATACATTCGAACCACTATTTGTCATATTTCTTTTTATCGAGAAATCGAAGAAGCTATACAAGGTTTTTCTCGAGCCAATTCATATGGTTTCTTGAACCCAAGAGTTAAGAATAATGAGTTAATGATTACCTCGAATAGAATAACCACTTAGAATTAGGAAAAGATTATATTTGGATAGAAATGCAAAATCGTATGGATACGATCTAGGTTGTTCCTCTCGATCAATTGGATGGTCTCTTTGTAGATTTCGATATGAAGGTTTAGTAAACGTGTTTCCGTGTATTCCTTTAGCATTTCATCCAAGAGGAACAGTTCCTCGAACTCTAGAAATTTCTTTAAAATACTTTTTTCTTGAATAGTATTCAAGACAATTTCAGATTCTTTCATATTCCACCAATTAGTAATCCAAGATTCTAGACTTTTCTGAAATGTAACTTAAGTAGGCGATTCTCCTTTTATTCTATAAATGCGGGCAATGACATCGCCTCTTGAAGTACGGTACCTGCATTTACAATTTTTACTTCGGTATTATATTGCTCAATACGTTCACGGATAATTTTACTAATTTTATCTGCACGAATGTTTACCATGAATATTTCTGAATTTGATTCTTTTTTGAAGAAAAACAAAAAGAAGGCCTGCCTGCCTATACTATCAATTATAGTAGAACAACTAATCATTTTTTTTTTCTTTCATCACCCCAAACATACCAATATTAGCACTGATCGTAAGTAAATGTAACTCGTTGTTTAAGCAACTATTCAAAGTTCCCAGAGCTCCTTGTAATGCTTGTTGTAAAACCCTTTGTTGCACTTGATTAATTGCCCTTTGTTGTTAAAAATGAATGGTTTCATTTTTGTAATTTTCGAATTGTTCCAAAGTTGTATAAATTGAATTAATTCAATTCAATTTTCTTGTTCTATCTCGGAATAACCATTCACTCGAAACCGATCTGCTTCCATTTCTACTTTCCTTAAACGGGATCGAGCTTTTTCCAGCTGTTCAATGGTTGTTTCCCGTAGTTCTTCTGAATTTCAAATAGTTCTCAAGATTCTCTATTTTCCATTATCTAATAAATCACTTAATGAAAGTAGATTCTATTTCCATTCATTTCAAAATGTCCATGATCTCTTCCCGAACAAAACATGATTCTTTCAATTCATTTGGCCCTCACACTCAATTCCTTATAGGAAATTTCCCCATATTTATTATGGAGTGATCCTATCCTCTTTTCTCTATTTCTAAAAATCTTGAAAATGATTATGAATACAAGACCCAAATATTTGGAGGACTCTTCTGACCAAACAAATAATTGTCAGCAAAGCTGTTTTTTTCTTGAAATCCAAAGAATTTTAATTTCGGGGTAGGAATCCAAGATTCTTGACTTTTTCCTAATATGGATTATTATCCTGACACAGTGCCATCTTGAGACCACCCAGAACGGTAAAAATAAATGCAAGGAACCAAAAAAATTTAAAAATTGGATTTAAGTCCAATGGATCGCAACTACAAAGAAAAAGTATTTTGTTTAGGTTGGACCTGTAATTTTATATGAAATACTGGACAGTATCAATTTTGTAAAACTTTTTCCCCAAGATCTATTCCAGGAAAAGGATAATCTGGAACTAAAAGTTGTCAATTATATTCTTTATGGAAATGGAAAATCCATTCGGGGAATTTCCGACACAAGGATTCAATTAGTTCGGACTTCTTTAGTCTTCAATTGGGATCACGGGAAAAAAGAGTTCTTCTATTGAGGAGGCCCCTGCTTCCTTTATTGAAGTAATTACAAATGGTTTGATTGAGTATTTTCTAAGAATTGACTTAGTCAAATATAATACTTCATATATTAGAGAAAAAAAAGACCCGTCTGGTTTAGGATTGATCAGGGATAATCAACCGGATCGAATCAATCCCTTTTTTTCTATTCATTCCATGGGAAAAATTCAATAATCACTTAGCCAAAATCACATAACTATTAGTATGTTGTTGAATAAAAATAAAGAATGCCGATCTTGGATAATTTTGTCATCGTCTAATTGTTTTCAAATGAGACCCTTCAACAATGTATAATCTCACAATGGAATAAAAAAAGATCCTATAATTTCAATTAATAATAATAATTCATTCGGCCCTTTAGTAATAGCCCTCCAAGTTTCGAATTTTTATTCACTTTATCATTTAATAACTCATAATAAGATCTCAATCATTAAAAATTTGCAACTTGAAAAATTAACTTTAATTTTCCAAGTAATTAAATATTATTTAATGGACGAAAATGAGAAAAATTTTAAACCCGATCTACACAGTAATATTGTTTTGAATCCATTCCATTTGAATTGGTTTTTTATCCATCATTTTTATTGTGAAAAAAGGTTTACAATAATAAGTCTTGGACAATTGATTTGTGAAAATATATGTATAGCTAAACTGAAAAATGGACCACACCTAAAACTAAAATCGGGTCAAGTTATAATAGTTCAAATGGATTCTTTAATAATAAGATTAGTTAATCCTTATTTGGCGACTCCAGAAGTAACCATTCACGACCATTATGGGGAGATCCTTTCTCAAGGAGATATTTTAGTTACATTCATATATGAAAAATCGAGATCCGGTGATATAATACAAGGTCTTCCAAAAGTGTAACAGATATTAGAAATACGTTATATTGATTCAATATCCATGAATCTAGAAAAAAGAATTGATGCTTGGAACGAGTGTATAACAAAAATTCTCGGCATGCCTTGGGGATTCTTGATTGGTGCTGAGATAACCATAGTGCAAAATCGTATTGCTTTGGTTAATAAAATCCAAAAGGTTTATCGATCCCATGGAGTACATATCCATAATTGACATATTGAGATTATTGTGCGTCAAATAACATCCAAAGTCTTGGTTTCAGAAGATGGAATGTCTAATGTATTTTTACTTGGCGAACTAATTGGATTATTGCAAGAAGAACGAATGGGGAGTGCCTTGGAAGAACCCATTTTTACCGAGCTTTATTATTGGGAATAAAAAAAACATTTCTGAATACTCAAAGTTTCATATCTGAAGCGAGTTTTCAAGAAACTGCTAGAGTTTTAGCAAAAGCCGCTCTTCGGGGTCGTATTGATTAGTTGAAAGGTCTTAAAGAGAATTTTGTTTTAGGGGGGATGGTACCCGTTGGTACCGGGTTCAAAATAATAATGCACTGTTCACGGTCAAGGCAACATAAAAAGATTACCCGGAAAAAAATTATTCGAAGTAGAAATTAGAAATCTTTTGTTCCATCACAGAAAATTCTTTAATTTTTATCATTTCAAAGAATTTATGTGATACATTATTAGAAATATGGGATTAAATGGTTCCTAAAAGGGGATTCGACTCAGCCCCTTAAAATCTTTAAATGCAATCATTTAATTTGGTAATAAAGTAGAATAAAAAAAATAATAAATAGAAATAAAAGAATGGCCTGATTCTATCTTAAGAGATTTATCTAAAAGGCTCGTGATAGAACTAGGAAGACGTTTCAAATACCACACATGGGTTACTGGACATGTTAATTTGATATACCCCATTTGATATCTACGTATCCTAGAATCAACAAATTCTACTACACATTATTCACAAAATTGAGGTTGGTCTTTTTTATCTCCGATTAGTCGATAATTTCCATAAGCACAAATCCCACTTTTTATAGGCCCAAAAATTCTTTCACAAAATAATCCATCTTTTGCAGGCTTATTGGTTTTATAATGAAGAGTATAGGGTTTTTTTACCTCCCCAACTGTTTCTCCATTAGGTAGGATTTTTTTTGCCCAAGCACTTATTTGTTTAAAGGAAACTGATCCCATTCGAAGGTGTTGATGTTTATACTGGTCAATCATAAAATAAAATTTTTGATTCAGTCCAATTAAACTTCCTTCCTTTGAATATGAAAGTCTTTCTCAGAGAAAAGGAAATGATTCAGTTCCAGAGACAAAGATCGTAGTTCGCGAACGAGCAATCAAAAAGATTCTGGAGCATCCACAGGTTTCGGTATTGTTCCTCCACTAATTGTAGTTCCAAGTACTTCTTGACGAGCTTTAATATGATCAGATTTATAAGTAAGCATCTCTTGTAAAATATTAGCAACACCGAATCCCTCGAGGGCCCAAACTTCCATTTCGCTTACCCGTTGTCCTCCTTGTTTGGCCCTTCCTTTAAGGGGTTGTTGTGTAACAAGTGCATAAGGTCCACTGGAACATCCATGTATTTTATCATCAACTTGATGAGTTAATTTCAAGATATAAGGCTTTCCTATTATAACAGGCTGTTCAAAAGGATCCCCCGTTCTTCCATCAAATATTCTGCTCTTTCCCGGATACTCGAATTCAAATATCCATGGATTCGATGTTTCTTTACTGGCCTCATATAATTCAGAAAACACAAGTTTTCTGGAAGCCTCTTGTTCATATCTCCCATCAAAAGGTGCTACTCGATAATGTCTATTTAGCATACTCCCAGCTAATCCGAGAGAACATTCTAATATCCTTCCTACATTCATTCGAGAAGGGATCCCTAATGGATTGAAGACCACATCAACGGGACCATATCCTGTCTAGATAAAATCTTTGAAACGATACCTTTATTTCCATGTCTCTCGGCCACTTTATCACCTACTTTGATTTTACGTTTATGTGAAATATATATATGAATTGTTTCTGGATTATAGATAGAATCCGCTTTTTTGTGGAGCCATCTCACATCAATAACTCGTCCCATACCACCTATAGGTAGTTTTAGACAAGTTTCCTTTGAGGTGGATACCTGAATCCCAAGTATAGCTCGTAATAATCTATCTTCCGGGGCATATGAGGATTATTTTGCTATTTGAGGCATTAATTTACCAACTAAAATATCACCTGTTTCTACCCAAGAAACCAGAATTACAATTCCATTTTTGTCTAAATTTCGTAGTAAATGCGCTTCTAGATGTGGAATTTTATAAGTGATTCTTTCAGGACCATGGCTTGTCACATGAGTCTGAATTTCATATTTTCGTATGTGTAAAGAAGTATAAATATCTTCATAGACCAGACGCTCACTAATGAGTACATCATCTTCAAAATTGTAACCTTCCCATGGCATATAAGCTACCAACACTTTTATTCCCAAAGTGAGTTCACCACCAACTGTAGCAGCACCATCTGCTAAAATTTGTCCTTTTTTTACGCATTTACCCTTCTGAACCTGGGATTTTTGATGCATGCAAATATTTATGTTGGAACGTTGATATATAATTAATGGAATACTTAGACCATTGCCACTTCCAAATAAAATAATCTTCTCAGTATCATTATAAATGATCTTTCCCTCGTGTTCGGCTATAGCGAAAACTCCCGAATCTAAGGCCACTTGGCATTCCAATCCAGTTCCAACAATTCACTTTTCGGACCGAGAAAGAGGAACTGCTTGACGTTGCATATTAGAACTCATTAAAGCTCTATTCGTATCATTATGCTCGATAAAAGGAATGAGGGAAGCTCCAATAGAAAAATATTGGAAGGGAAAAATACTTCAAAGATGAACCTGTTTCCATGCAATAGTAAGAAATTCTTGGCGGTATCGAGCTGGAACAATCTGGTCCTCCTGAATACCTCGATTCTGTGCTAAAAAATTTCTCGTTGCTACCATATAGTATTCATCTCTACTTGGTGATAAAGAAAGCATTCGTATTCTTTTTGATCTCTCAGAAATTTCATAAAATGGACTTTCTATAAACCCCTAATGACCAATCCTTGCGTGAATTGCCAAGGATCCAAAATCCGACATTGATTCCTTCAGAGGTGTCAATTGGATAAATGCGTACATAGTGACTAGGATGGATATCCCGTATCCAAAACTAGCAGTTTGCCCCGTCAATCCTTCAGGACCCAAAGAACTCAATTTCCTTCCATGAACTATTTGGGTCAATGGAATGGTTTGATCTAAAACTTGAGATAATGGATGTAATCCAAAAAATATTCATAAGTGGTTGTTAATGGCGTTGAAGTGACTAAATTCTGAGGAGTCGGTATCAATTTATATCTAATTGCTCCACATATAGTTCCTCTAATTAGATTTTCTAAACGAACGAGAGCCAATCCAAATTGATCTTGTAAGAGATCTGCTACGGAACGAATACGTTTATTTTTCAAATGATTCATATCGTAAAGTGTACCCATTCCAAATTTCATTCCAATCAAATGATCCGCAACTGTCAATATATCTCACGGTAACAAAAATGTATTGTTCTCAGGTATATCAATATTCAGCCTTCGGTTCATATTTCGCCGCCCAATTCCTCCTAATTCACATCTTTGTTGATTTTTTTTTGTAATTCCGTACATGAAGATTAAGGAAATATGGGATCTCCGCCTACACAAGCAAATTGTCGATAAAACTCCAAAATGGCATTTTCTTTTGACCTTATTTTTTCCCCTCCTTTTCATTGAGGAAAGACAAGAAAATTTCGGGGTAAAAAACGTTCTCAAGAATTTCACTTAAATTTGAACCCATAGCTGATGATAGAACTAGAATAGATATTTTCCGTTTCCTACTTACACGAGCCCATATCCTGGCTTTTCTATCAACTTCTAACTCTAATCTTCCTCACTAATCTGATATTATTGTGCCAGTATAGACTAAAATCCAGTTATGGTCCAATTCTGACCGATAATAGATAACGGGGCTTTGCAATATTTGATTGATGGAATACATGAAAAATATAATCCATAACATCTACGTCAGCCTTTCGGTATTAATACAATTAATGTTTCTTTTTAGATGATCCCTTTAGAAAAGGAGTATTCGAACAATCTCTTTTTCTCTAGTTACTTCGTTCTCTATTTCTATTTGAGAGAATCTTTAGGAAAAGAATAAAATTTCCGTCCAGCTAAAAAACTATGTTGATGTTTCTAGTAAACTAAAAAAATCATTTTATAGCTATTTTTCTTCATTCTCTCCTATACAAAACAAATAATAAAAAAATTGGAAGATTTAGTTACGAGTGGAAACGAATTTTATATATCTTTCTCCCTGGATCCTTTACTTATATTCAAAAATTGGGATTCTGGATCCAATTGCAAAAACTTATGTTTCATAATTTTAGAATCAATTCTAAATTGTATACAAATTATGATAATGTATATTATTCCTCGAATTGCTCCTTGAGAGGTATAAAGGATTAAATACCTTTAAGTAAGAAATAAAGTTTTTGATCGTGATATGAATCACGGAAGGGAACCCTTAACTATTACTATTAAGGGGTCGATAGAACGAATCACACTTTTACCACTAAACTATACCCGCTACAATACTATTATTGTATATAAAAAAATCTTTTGTCAATATCAATACAGGAAGGGGAATCAGTCATAATTCTGAAATAGGTGCAGAATTTTATGATAAATACAGTGTTCACATGTTTCGTAAAGGGCCCTCTAATGAAATTTAGAAAATGGGGTGAATCTCATTTTTGGATTTTGTTGAAGGTATTTTGACAGATAGATATCGACAAAATTACTAAACGAAATTCATAAGACAAAAATGCATTGTGCAAGAATCCATAGTTCTATTTCTTTTTTTAGATATGTTAACTAATTAATTCGTATGATATACGATCAAAAAGTTATTTTTATTTTTGTTTGATCGTATTAAAATGTTTTCCTTAATTACAAGTTTCTTTCAAATCTGATACAGAAAAATAAATCATTGTGATTCATGGGAAAAAAGAGTCGTGCTAGTACCTAGCTAGACTCTGGTTGGATAATAACACAAACTAAAAACAAAAGAAAATAAAAAAATTTATATTGCGTATATATAGAATATAAATTTAGTATAGGTGTAATAAAATATAACTAATATTTATGAGTTAATATAGAATTATGAATAGTAATTAAATAAAATTATAATTAAATAGAAAAAAGATAGATAGATAAGATATATCAAATGACAATCAATATCAAATATGATATATAGAAGGCTTTTTTTAGCCCTAGTTTTTGTTCTTTTTGTTTATCCGAGGTATCATAAGCATAATAATTCAATTTTTTGAATTGGGGAGAGATGGCTGAGTGGAGTAATGCGTCAGATTGCTAATTTGTTGTACGATTTTTTGTACCGAGGGTTCAAATCCCTCTCTTTCCATTTATTGATGATTTGGGAGTTTTTTCTTTTGAACATCTGGAATTTTTTTTTATTCCCTGTTTGTTTCATTTTTTACTAGTTAAAGATGTAAAATAGATAGAAAAATGAAAAATATTTAAAAATCTAGAATAAGTACGGAAAAGAAAAAAGATTTTCTTATTTAATTTATTTGAAATGTAAAAATAAAAAAGATTTTATCTTTATGACTTTATGTTTTATATCTTTATAACCATTTAAAATTTAACTTGTTTATATTATTAAGGGTTTTAATAAATTTTGGTAATAAGTAAATTGATGTTACCAAATAAATAATAATAATAAATATAGTAATTAGTAGATACACACAAATAAATAAATAATATTGTATTAAAATAACATATTAAATAATTGTTATTATGTTATGTATAATAAATGATTTAGGAATAATAATATTAATAAATCTTATTTTTTAGTTTATTTGAAATTTAAAAATAAAAAAGATTTTATCATTATAATTTTATATTTTATTAATTTTAAAAAATAAAATTATTATTATGAATTATTAATAATATTTTATTAAAATTAAAAAAAAACAATTCTTATTAGTTTTAGTTAATAACTTATAATCAATTGAAACAAATAAATCTTTTATGAGTATTAAAGCCAAATATAATTACTGAATATAATTTTCCTATAATGAAATGTTAAAAATATAGTGAGTGCATAATTGAAAATATATTGAAATTAATAAAAATTTATGTTAATATTTATTATTAATTAATGAATTTATTTGTCATGGACAAATGTGTCATATTTGACAATTATTTCATAGATAAAAAAAGACATAAAACAATTAAGAAGATAATGAATTATTCGGTTTCTTTAATTTTTAAAGATGAAGATTTTGACTCTTTGGTAATGGATGCATTGTCACCCTCCAGATCAATTGTATCTGAAGATTCAAAACTCTCGGTCTTTCACTTACCGGTTGATCAGAACCTGAAAGTGGACCTAAAGATGATGTCTGCTAGGCAAGATATTTGAGGAGAGGAGGGATGTACCTGCAAGGCAGTCCGACAATCAAGTAAAAATTGGTGCAAGGGATACAAGGATGAGATTAAGGTTTTAAGACTGAATATTGGATATCTGACCCTTACAAGTGTGAGGATTTATATAATGACTCTGGCGTTTGGCCATTGGTTCCTATTTTTTGACCTAGATATCAGTTCCCAAAAAAATAGGTAATTGCTAGGAACTAGTTGTTGTTTCGGGCAGAGGTGCTTGTAACAAGCCGTTATAACTGACAGAGAAGTGTATCATGGGCAAGCGTGATTTTTGATCATTTCTGAGTGGCTATCCTCCTCCGGCCGGACAGGATGAGGAATAGCCTGGATGAGTGGGAAGAAGTTGCAGTGGAGATCCTGGTGGCCACAACTCCTCAGTTAATGATCAGAAGGGAAAAAGTGTCATTTATCCTTCATGTTTTATTGGACCAAGGTCATTCGGTCGTCCCATAGAAATTTGTATCTATATGTGTGTGTGTGTGGATGTTTCATTCTCAAAGAAACGCTAAAAACTCTCAAATTTAAGAGAATCCATATTATATCTTTGAAAGTTATAGATAGATGTATGGAAAAGGTTTCATAGGTCAGATCCAAAATCAATAGGTATTTTCCAAGTCATTTTTACAAAACTCAAAATAACCTCTCTCTATTATGGATGATAGCTCATTTTTTGTTTTTCTCTATATTGTATTTCAGTCAAAGAAGATGTGTTTGGTGGACTTCGTACAGATATATCTATTTTTTGCGTAGTACCATGGGGTTTCAGTAAGACCAACATTATAAATATGAGTCCCACAAATATATTGGAGAGTACTCTAAAAGAAAAGGGTCGGATCTTAGCGAATTTAAAACGAGGTCAAAGGACCTCTCCATGAAGAAATAAGGGAGAGCTCACTTAGCTTAAAGGTCAACATGATCCTAAGGTGAGAGCTCTTATTGGCCCAGTAAACTCAATGTTGACGCATATACACTACAACAATAACGCTTTTCATGATGAAATTTCATGTCATCCAGTGTTGTACCAAAAACTTTTCCCTCCCATTTTCTTCAAGATATCTCCTTATGCTCCTTTGGTTTTCTATTGCTCAAGGATACTCAAGGGTTTGAGCATACAAGCACCTCTCCTCAACAGGGGCCTACAACTAGGGTTTCACTTTTCTCAAGGAAATTTGAGATTAATGCCTCAATTGGATTTCATGGTTCCTCATATGTCTCAAGGAATGCTCATCCCAAATTTCAAGCCTTGCATCATAAGTTTGCTCAGTCAATTGTTCAGATGACTAAAAATCAACTGTATTGGACAAAAAGTCAGTTGTGGTCAACATACAGTCAAACTTCAATATTTTTGGTCAACATAAATATTTTTAAGTCACATTCATCATTTGATCAAGGGTTGATCATGATTCATCAAGAAAACTCAAGATTCATCAAAAGTCAAAAGTTACCAAAATAGGGTTTTCTTAAGGATAAGTTAACCGAATGTTGAACAATCATAACTTT